TTGTCTCTCTAAATTGCTAACATTTCATTCAACGATGCTAAAACATACCCCTTCAGCTATGAACGCAGCCTGCAGCCAAAAAAAAAGGAAAAATCTGAACAATCACAGTCATTTGTTCCTGTTCCATTGAAATCATAAAATACGATTGAACATGCTAAAGGATGCAAATCTTCAGAAAACCTTGCATGGTTCTGGAAGAAGAACACAGAGTTTGCATGTGCTGTGGCTGGGGAGCACCCCAACCTCAGCCTGACCAGCCAGGAGGAGGAGATCCCCTCTCTCTACGTCCTAAGGAAGATGGAATGAGGCACTGCATTTCCTCGAAAGTGCATGCACAGATGGCACAAGCAGCCTGCATGGATTTGCACAGACCTGGAAGCAGTACATGGTCTTCTGGTTTGGAGAAATGCTAAGTTTAGCTCATGAAGGGCCTCCTGAATACCAAAGTTGCAGAATATTTTCCTTACAAAAACTATTCTGGAGCATTCACTTTGGATGATTCTTAGAAGAGAGTTCTGCAGGAATTTGAAGCCTTGCAAGCTGATAAGGGGAAAAATATTATTTTTCCACTTATTATTATTTACAGTCTAGCAGAACCTGCCGATATTTAGGACTACAGGGTGCCACATGCAAACAGCTTCTGCCCCAAAGAGCACACAATCCAAAGCGTGCAAACAAGGGAAGGGCAAAGGAAAAGTACAGGGTCCTCAGTGGTTTGATAGGCAGGCAGTAGGTGGACGACATTTGCCATCTAAATGAAGTCACAACAGAACACAGTTCTCATCTCTCCTATTTAGAGGTCTTCCTGACGCCTAACAGACTATAAAGGGGGACTAATGGATAACGCTTTAGACTCCTAAGACTGCTTAAAATACTAGGCATTGTATGTTACCTTGTGGAAAGAGGTCAATGCACTGTCATTGCCCATTTCCTGAGCCTTCTGAGTCTGGTACTGTTTAACATAAGGATATTGGTTTGCTGTGTTTATGTGAAACATCTTTTGTTGTAATATTCAGAAACTAATACAACAGGAAGCTTTAAAAAAATTATTTAAGCTCACTAGTAACAGCTGAAACGAGATCCCCAGCACATCATAGGCATACAGCATAAAAGATGCATGTGCTTATACACATAGTCATAGACTATCCTACTGCTAAAGAGCTGTATCACTGGATGCTAATGCAGGTGGACCACAAAGAGGAAGGCCGTTAAGAGGTCTGATTCCAGCCTTTAATTAGATTGGCACGTACAAGTCCTTGCAGAGGCTATGCCAGCCTCAGCTGAGCTCCGTGCAGGTCATAGTTGAGCACTCCACAGCTCGAGGTTGAGCCTTTCACCATTCAGGTGTGACAGCAGGATACAGCCCAAGCCTGTGCTGGACCTGCAGACTGAGCAGCTGAGTCACATACACAGCCCGCTGGCACTAGTGTTTTCTCCCCAGACCCAACACATGCAAACCACGTACTTCTACCAGGCTTGTCCAAGACCTGAATGTAGCAGAGCTCCCTTTACCTAGATATATCATCGGAAAGTTGAATGCTGGATGGTGGTTTCTACCTCAATTAGGTTAGGCCACCTTCAGGGTGCATTTGAATTTCAACCCTAAGTGGTGGCTTTGGTCCAGATTAATTCCGTGGTTTGGCTTAAAAATCAAAGTAAGGTTTAGAGGTAGGAACCTTCACAGAGCTTCCCGCAGTTCCAGAGCAGCGCCGCGCTGATGTAAATTAATGGGATAAATGAACTTGGCTATGGGAACCAGCTGTGGGACAGGCAGATGACATCTGAGGTCCCCTCCAGGCCTGTTTTTCATACAGTCTGTGCCTGTTAAAGGCATTTAAAATGAATCAAGGATCAAATACTACATGAGAGGTGAACGATTGCGCCAGAGGATAGACTAGGCAGTGACCAGCTGGCCCCATGTGAAAGTGACACTGCCTTGACAGTCCCATGTAGAAAGCAATAGCCACACGTTAATTTGTGTAAGCCTTGAACATACAGATAAAAGCAAAACCCAGAATAAATTAGAGATGCCTTGCTTATTAAAAGCCACGGATTGGAAGCTTACAGTTTGATTTTAGAGGAGTTGTCTCCTGGAGCACGATCTAGTGGGGCACACAGAGAGGAGAGAAAGGGAGGTCAGGGTTGACGTGGAAGTGGAGTGGACAGGTACTGCTACAACATGCATGAGAAAGTGGTGGTTTTTTTCCCTGAGATTGTCTTGCTTCATCTCCTCCTTCCTTCTCCACTCCCCATTATCAGTATTTAAAACATCTCCAAGTTTTCTTAAGCAGGTTTGCTGTGCTCATTAAAATACCGTGAGCACTTACTGGCTATAATGAGCGCTCGTTAAATTCTGGTAAGTGCCAGGACTGTCCTGTGGAGTTGAACAGACTGAGGTTCGGGGATGAGAGCTCAGGGGTGGGAAGATACTGGAAACACCACATTTTCCACAAGAACAGAACTACAACATTCCCCTCCTTTTCTGATCTGCAAGCACTGGGGTAACTCAGACCTGTGGAGCTGCAGCTATTGCGTACTGACTACTCAAATCATTCCTCTGCCCCAGAAGGACTCTCAGCTCCTCTTATCAGAACAGGAACAAATTAAAGATTTTTTTATATTTGCATCTCCTCATTTGAGAACTTTGCTATATTTGTTATATAGAGATAAAAGCCTGCCTGGAAGAATTCACTTAGCAAAGTGGTTTTCTCAGCCTTAGGGAATGGAGCAGGAGGGATTGCAGAGCAGGATCCAAAGCAGCTGGCGAGGCTGCAGGAGCAGCAGGAGATCAGGAGATGAATGGGTCCATACCAGGCCAAGGATCACATTTTACATGCCTTGTTCTTGTATTTATTTCCAATCGGTTGTGTCAGACACACACACCCTGACTAGGGTGGCCATGCCTATACCATAAAGCAGTTCCCATGGCAGGATTCTGTGCTACCATCTGTGTTTTTATCACCAAATGTTCATCAACTACTAATATTAGAAGATATGAATTCACTAAAACCATATACAAATAGACTTTACCCTGGACTAATCCCCAGTGAATCAGAGGGCACGGGAAACATGAAGGAAGCAGAATCAGACAAGAACTTGAAGATCAGTGCATCCCCCCAAAAACCAGTGTATATCCTAGTGGGGAGGAGAGAGCTGCTGGAAAGGGGAGGTTTTTGTATGTATCCCTTGGAGACGACACTTCTGCAGATGGCCTGAAAAATGCAACACATCAGAAGAGGGCAGTGAGGGAGAAAGGAACGGAGAAGTTCACCTGGCTTCCCAAGCAACTTGTAGAGAGTTGACTGACCATCATCACCAAATAGGTGAAAGCACGGGACTGACACATCGAAGTTATGCTATTCGAAAGAAATAAAGCTGCATTTCTGACAAGTAAGAATCTGAAATCCTGTTATTTTGTGCTTAGGCTGATACCCATACCACTGCCTGTACAATGAGCATATGACCAAGTCCTGCGTCACCTCAGAAATATCTATTTTTCAACTACATGAATCTAAAGACCACAGTTCAGCATGAAACGTGTATCAAAATGGCATCAGTTTCCCAAGATTAAATAACTGGTTTGGTTAAGCATTAATTGCTCCAGTTTGGCTCACTCTTCACCCACTCAGGAGCTTTTTGTGGATTACTGCTTTATAATTGCTTGCTCCCTAAGCACACATGCATTGCAATCTTCTGCACACCTTGACAGCATCCTGGTTAGAGAAAATGAATGCTACATGTTCCCCTGACACTGCATTTTATCTGCTGGATACAGTAAGTCGGAGATTGTTTACTCTACTTCTCATGGCCCATTAATGACATAATGTTGGACACAGCTGTTCAGGGCTTCACAAGACCAAAGCAGAGAAAGAAATGCCGGGAGACTTCAAACACACTGCTCACATTAGAGCTTGGCTGGGAAAGTCCTTGAAAGTGGTCTAGGGGAATTTAGCCTTATAGCTCTCTCATGAAGTAAATCCAGGATTAAAGCCTCAAACTTAGTTTCTCCTGAAAACTTGAATGATCTTAAAATAACTCCATCTGACCAAGGTGGCAATGACTGCTTTAAAGAAGAGGGGACCAATCATCTCATCCTCACTCTGCTTGGCCAAATTATCTACTGAAAAATTAGGACCTGCCATATACGAAGGCTCACTAGCCCTGGAAGTGGGGTGTGCCTGGTTCATCATGTCCTGACTTTCAGCGTGTTTGAGCAGGAAAGGTGAAGCTCACCCTGTACAAAGACACCTTGAGGTTGAGGCATCCCTTAAGATCTCAAAAAGAGTTTGAACAGAGTTCCAGTGACGCACAGCGCACTCAATGTCCAGAAGGCATCATCTGCCCCTGTGAAATCCACCTCCCAGTACAGTTGCCCAACGTTTTTGTAGGGGCTTCTGGAAAGCTAAGCCTGGCCAGTGGATCTGTGCAGCAAGGGAGTGCTGCTAGCAGGGCTGATGTGCACCAACCACAGCAAAAGGATAAAGATATGCTCCATCTAATTATCACACCCAGAGAGCCACTCTGGAAATTTTATTTTCCTTCTTGAAGCTTCAGGAACCATGTCATTACGGAACAACATTAATTTTCCCTAAGAAAAAGGCAAATCAAGTAAGTTTGTTGACTTCCCAGTCATGAAGAAAAGCAGAAAAAGTCTAAGAGGAAGGCTAAAACCCATCCCTGTAGCCCAGTTCAAAATAACCTATTTCATTAATTTTAAAACACTTTATAATTCAAAACTGGGGGAGGATGGTATACATTGTTTACATATACACATGTGTATATATATAGCATGTAGGAGGAACACAATTTGCAATGCTGAGCTGATTCCTCGGCTTGGCGATACTGCAGACATCTCCAGCAGAAAAAGGGGATCACTCAGTAAAGTTTTTCCTCCCTGTAATAACACCCCGTTATCGAAGCCGTGTCTGAATTCATGCTCAGAGGAAAGACCGTCACCCTCCCTCATCTTCCCCAGACCTTTCATGGTAACCCTTACTTACAATTGTGAAGTTCATAACCTTCAGAATCCAGATGGTCATAGCAAGGTTCACCAGGATTAAAATCATTAGGAGCAGCACAAAGAAATAGACCCCCCCTCCCCCCAGCCATAAATCCCCACTTTGTATACCTGGGGTCCTTCCGAGGTCTGCATGGTGCTCCGGTGCGCGTACTGTTCCTGAGGCATCTGAAATGATCACAAAGAAATAACCACATGTATTAAGTGCCAAGAGAAAGGTGATGGTAAAAACCGCTTATGTCTGTGCCTTTTGTTTTTTCTTTTTCAGAGTTTACCAGCTGAGCAGCATCTTTTTCGACATCTTGGTTCTGCGTCATTTTCCTTTCTGCTCACTGTATGCAGTAACAGACCGAAAGAGAATTTTATGTATTAAACTATATATATATATATATATAGTTATAAATACACGTAAGCACACTGTCTGAAGGTATCCTATGGAGATCACTCTTGAGTGACTCTGTTCACCGCCCCAGGATTTGCAAGGCAGGCACTCCAGGGCCTCTAAGGATCCTGAGGGGAAAATTTTGCATGCGTTTGGTAAAAGCATTTGAGTTCAGCAGTTTGTTTTGAAGATGCAATATTACTTCTCAGAGGCTTTAATTTTAAAAAAAAAACCACTCAAATAAAATTATTCCTTCCAGTCAAAGAAAAAAGGCAAAGGGGAAATGTTTGCCTTTCTCCCTTCCCACACTCTGATCTTTCTTAACCAAGTAAACCTGAAGCACAAGGTTCTCCAGCTGCCATATCCTTAACAAACTATCTCCAAATATCTGGTTGAACAAGGACTCTGATACCCTGGGAGGACATGGCACGGTAGGACAACACCGGAGACCAAAACAAAGGAAAGAGGGAAGGAAGGAAGGAAGGAAGGAAGGAAGCTGGTGCCAAGGAAACCAGTGTGGCAGCATCCCAGGAAGAATTGCTTTACAGTCCCCCGTGGCAAGCACCGTCCTCCATCCTACACCCTGGTACCCGGCTGGCTCTGGGCACTCGGGGACCTGGCTGCTCCCCCCAGGATGGAAAGAGATGGGTGCTTTCAAAGGGCACTGCAGCCAGCTGGGACGGGGGTGTGCGAACAGCCGCGTGTGCACGGGGTTGGGATCATGGGGGTATTTTGTGGCACACGAATAAAGTATTCACGTTCTCGCCCTTTGCATTCGGGGTGCGGAAAGCCACTTCAATGGGCTTCCCCATGGGATCAATTTCTTATGTTTCCAGACTTTTTTGATGCACAGACTGAGGATCTCATATCATCTCTAATACCACACAGTTCGCTGAATGTTCTGTGTTTTAGGCTCTAGAGAGATAAGAAGCCACCAAACGCCTTCTTGCACTACTGATTCGACACCACGAGCGTCTTCCTCTGGGTATCTGGCATTGACGTTTGTATTCAGTGAATTATAAAATTCACATAACAGGAGGAAACAATGTGAGTTCCTCTCTGTGGGAGTGTGCTCTGCAAGAAGGCAGAATGACACAACAGCAGAAATTAGATGCTCATTGATAGCAGCTCATCTTTGTTTACCATTAGTTTCCTGGTTTTTTCCTTACTTTTTTGCTAATAACTTCATACTCCAGCATCTAGTAAAATATAGCTTGCAGGCGACAGCGGTGCAGAGCCCATTGCAGGCTGATGCAAGCTGAGTTTCTTCACAGCAGAACTTTCATTCCAGTAGTATTGCACCAGGGATGAAGTTAACACTTTGCTGCTCCGATGCTAAAGCTCACATATTTGAGGCAAGGGCTACCTGAAGAACCAGTTACCTTTTTTTTTAACCTTTCACTGCTCCAAAAGTCACTAAGACCTGTGTTTTCTAACGCTGCCTGGTGTTGTCACCTGCAGTGTAGAAACCTCTCCCTTCCTCCACAAGCCCTCACCCCTCAGCCAGGCTGAAACACGGTCTCAGGTGCTAAATAAATCCATTCAGGCACTAAATCCTTTTCAGATCAGAGGCATTGACACCTCTCCTGATCCAGACCTAGAAAGCAAAGCCTACTTGGCAGCATATTCAGGAAGGCTGTGTTTAGCCCAGGGAGGCTGGTGTGCTCGCACTGTGCTCTCAACCCAGCAGCGATGCTCCTTGGGAGGTAGATGTGCCCCTCTGCCTCCTTCTCTAATGTCAGCAGCCGTGTTAACCCCTCCCACTCAAAATTCATGACAGTGGTTGAAAACCATCAGTTTTTAAAAAACAGTAACAGATGAGGTTCTCCTATCATTTTCCTCTCAGGTTTCTGAACCATCACATTTTAAAGAATTTTTTCCCCTTAAATGCTTGAGGGCTACAGTCTACAATCATAGAAGCATAGAATGGTTTGGGTTGGAACGGACCTTAAATATCATCTAGTTCCAATCCCCCTGCCACGGGCAGGGACACCCTCCACTACACCAGGTTGCTCAAAGCCTCATCCAACCTGGCCTTGAACAATTCCAGGGATGGGGCAGCCACAACTCCTCTGGGCAACCTGTTCCACTGCCTCACCACCCTCAGTGTAAAAAAATTTCTTCCTTATGTCTAATCTAAATCTCCCCTCTTTCGGTTCAAAGCCATTGCCCCTTGTCCTGTCACTACACACCCTTGTAAAAAGCCCCTCTCCAGCTTTCCTGTAGCCTCCCTTTAGGTACTGGAAGGGTGCTAGAAGGTGTCCCCGGAGCCTTCTCTTCTCCAGGCTGAACAATCCCAACTCTCTCAGCCTGTGTTCATAGGAGAGGTGCTCCAGTCCTCGGATCATCTTCATGGCCCTCCTCTGGACCCGCTACAGCAGCTCCACCAAGGAGAAAAAGCAGGTCAGACTTGTGCAACAGTCGGGTGCTGCAAAGGACACGTGCAAGAGGAGACCCCAGGCACCACCACTGCCCATCTGCAGGCAGCTGCCAGTCTGAGTTCCCTCCTCTTGAACGAAGGTGCTGCCGCGCTCGCTAAACTAAAACTAGAACAAGTCGAGCTTCAGCCAGCCCGTCCACGCCTCCGAGCCCGTCTGCTTTCTCCAGCTTTCTCAGCTGGTCTAAAAAAGGGATCTCACATCCCCCCACAAACCATGCCTCATGTACAACCTCAGACTACCCCAGCCCCAGCTCACACCAAGATCTGCAGCGTCAATTAGTGCAGACGGTCACAGCGCGTCGGGAGGAGCCAACAGCTCCCGGCAAATAGCCCTGTTCTTAATACGGGTTGGCTCAGCCATTTTAGCCAACGGGCATTAAAAGTCCACCACCAAAGAAAGGTGTGTTTGTACTGAGCAGCAGTTTTCATAATTCACCATAGATCACTTTTGCCGTTCAGAGCAGCTGAGGTGTCTCTCTCTATACCACAAAAACACCCAAAGCCCGGGCAGACCTGTTGCTTTTACCAAGGAGAAGCAAAACCAGTTGCTCACAACAGATCCAACTCAGTCTTCACCAGTGTTTTTGCTCACAGATGCCAAGTCAGCAGCTGCGGAGGGCTTTGCAGCACGGAGCTCATCAGAGAGAGGAGCAGGTCACCAGCAAACACAGGCACTTGGAGAAGAACAGGCCTTTTTACACTGCTACAGCCACTCCGGTCTGAGCAAAGGGAAAACTTAAACAACAATAAATAACAGAATTTCCACTACCTGGGGGAAATTATAATCACAACTGCTGTATGGTCAAGGATTTTATTGCCTAATATTTTAACAGGGGATCCTGGAGAGCACATAATAAATGCAGCCTCTCCCTTGCAGAAAATGAATAAATTGCATCACTAACTCTCTCAAATCACCAAAAAGGTTTGACCATTAAGAAACGATATGAAATACTCAGCTCAAAATATCTCTCTATTGCAGAACTTGTTTCTTCTCTTTATCTCTTTCCTGCTCTCTCTCTCCCCTTTTCTTTCTTCTTTTTTGTTCACTTGCAGTCTCTAGGGTGGAGAAAAGGACATATGCAGCTGTGGCAAAATTTTGCAGACAATTGATAGGAACAGAACATAACCACAAAGAGCAACTTCCATCTACACAGCAGCCTGATTTTGAGAATTTCTCCAGTTCCAATAAAATATTTAGCTCACACTGCCCTAAAAGAGATAGAGCAACTAAAGTACTACAACACGCATGATGAGCATGACTTAGTAATAGACCATAAATTTGTATCAAGAAAATAACATGGGAATCATAGATAGCATCTTCTCTCTATACAAACTCTCACACAGCTACATTTACAGCTATCCATGATTTCTAGCTAGCATGTTCCCCCTGAATTGTGAACACCGAAAGAAAATGCTCTTGTCTGTAGTTCTCCACGAAGAGAAGACAGAATGATGGACGGAGAGTGCTGAGGTGTGTTAAACAAGTAGAAGAACGTGGCCTGCAAGGAAACTACACGAGGAACCAGCTATATCTGCTATCAAGAATCTGCTCTGTGTGGGAGGGAAAAGTATGCTACTTATAATTTACATTTTCACATCTTCTCTTGACTCAAACATTAGAAAGAAGTAAGGCATCAGGAAAAAAAACAGTATTGCTGTGAAAAGACATCCAGTTGTTGCATTTGCAAGGTACCTCTCCCTTTCAATTACTGAGCTAAGGGGAAAGGCTGCGAGTTGCTTAATGGGATTTTTTTTTTTTCCAGGAAAACATTAGGAACAACTAGCTAATTTCATAATAGCAGTGAAAAAATAACACTGAAACAAATATAGAAATTGGAAAGAGAAGCAATCCTTCCAAAAGTCAAATCTGAAAGTGTCTGCCTGCCATGAAAGGGCTTAAAGACACATGTGCACAGCACTGGACTATCATTAGTGCATGAACAGTCCCATTTACGATACAAAAAATGCTGCATGCCAAATCTTGCAGTTTAGCCACAGACATTACCATGACTACAAAAGTATAGCCTGGAACCTAGGTCATTCTCCAAGGAAATTTTGCTGCTGCAAAAACAATGGGTAATAAGTTTTTGCACAAGAGCTGTGCACTGAGTCCTTATACACCAACACTGCAAACAGGGCCCGATACAAAATCCAGTCCATTTAGAAAAGCTATTCATCCTTTCACTTTAGCATACCTTAGAGACATGATCCATGACAAGAAAGATTTACTTGCTTTTTTTAAGATCACTGGAAGAGTCATGTCACTACGTCCTCTGATCCACATGGGCTGCACGCCGAGCACTTCTGGCAAAGAAGCTTCAGCATTTTCCTTCAGTAAAGCTGAAG